GTGACCAAAAGTACTCAGATTGACTGACTTAAGGCGCTGGGTATCTTGCTTCCCTTCACAGAATTAGAGTGTTATTTAAGGAGGCAGAAGGCCTTGGCAGTGAATAGAATTTCCTAGTGTGTATCTTTCTGCTGCTTTTTTCTTTTTTCCGCATTCTGGGACTGCACTTTTCCCTTCTGGTATCCCAAAACTCATGTATGGAAGCAGCCCCAGGGAGCTGACAGGGAAAAGTGCAGCCGGTTGGAGCCGAGGTGTTGGATCTGATGGGCACGATCTTGGACTCAGATGTGCCTGATGTTATCAGTTACCCCGGAGGAACTACTGGCAGGCTGGAGGAACTGATTTGAGCTGCTCAAGCTCATGGGAGGCTGATTTGTAAACTCTAAGCCGCACACTTTGAGTGGAACATCTATTCAAGTAAGAACTCGCAGCCGTTTCTCTGCCCTCACCCCAAGTCTACCTTGTATTCTGGCCTCAGTGGTGCTGGAGCTGGGAGCTGGGAAGCCACACTCCTGCCGGCTCTGGGGTTGGCTCTGCCAAAGAGGGACGGTAGTGCTGCAAGGCTGGGACAGGGAGAAGGGGCTCCCTCGTCCTATCTGCTGCGGGGCTGCCTGTGGCTCTGCACACCTCACCCCCAGACCTCTCCACTCCGGGACCAGCTGAGCCTGGGGTGCTTCAAGAACCAGTGTGGTCAGATCTGCGCCCCCGGAGACCCGTGCTGGTCATGCAGGGCTCCTGTTCCTCGAAGTTTCTACATTGCAATAACCCTGACCTCTTCCTATTTTCCCCCAGCTGGAGAGGTGGTAGTTGCTTCCTGCAGGGGCTGCCTCTGTGACACCAAAGAGATCGCTCTTTATGCTTTTGATTACCTGGTGAACACTTTAGTATGTGCTGATCCTGATGTTAAATTCCCTGTTCAAATCATCGGTGTGACTTCTCTCTCCTGACCGGACCTGACTCGAGGGGCTGTCACGTTGACAGACGGCCGAAGGCAGGGCCCTGAAATACTCCCCTTTTCCCATACCTGTGATGCCCACTGTAGCAGCAGTTGACCTTTACTAAGCCTCCAAAGGAGGCCAAGGGCAGCTAAAAGCCACTGCTCACGATTACAATAAGGTTCTGGACATCCCCATTTATGTGGAAGCTCTAACTCCGGTGAGCCAAGCTAGACCTGGTGGGAACGCATCAGACTCATCCACCCTTCTTCCGGGCCCCTTTCCAAGCTGGGGACCTCTCTCAGGCAAGGAACATACCTAGGCCTGTATTGTCACCACACACTCCCAAAAGTCATGGGACCCGAAGAACCATCAAAGGTGATGGGTCGTGGGAGTAGATTCCGAGAGAAGAAAATCCAGAGACCAGAAATCTCAAAAGACTGAATCAAAGAAGATGTGAAGTCAAACCCAGTATTTTTTTTTTTTAAGATTTTATTTATTTCTTTATTTGACAGAGAAAGAGAGCATGAGCACAAGCAAAGGGAGCAGCAGGCAGAGGAAGAGGGAGAAGCAGGTTCCTTGCTGAGCAAGGAGCCTGATGTGGGGCTCCATCCCAGGACCCTAGGATCATGACCTGAGCCAAAGGCAGACGCCCAACTGAAAACCAATTATTTTAATCCCTGTGACCATCCTTCCAAAAGCTGAGGTCTAAGCAGCACACCTGCTAACATCCACACCTTATGTCATTTTATTAGTAATGTAACTACAGGTAGAGTAAGGGATGAGAAAGATAATATAACAAGACAGAAAAATGCTGGCCTGGATGTCTGTAGAGGAGGTTTCACCACTTAGAGTAAATTAACCTCTCTGGACCTCACTTTCCAAATCTGTGAAATGAAAAGGTCGAGCTCTACGGATGTCTGTGGCCTACCTGTGCAAGTCCCATTAGGCGACATTGTGAAGGACAGGGCTTCTACGTGGTGTTTTCTAAAGAAATCTGTCCAGCAAAAGTAAGTCTAATGAAACGTGATAGTTTCAAATCAGGAAGTCTGATTCACCTTAGACTAAGTAAAAAATGTCAATACAAACATACTTCAATTCCCCAAACTGTGTGTGTGTGTGTGTGTGTGTGTGTGTGTGTGTGTGTAAGGCCAGCATTTCCCAAGTTTTCATGGCATTTCCCAAAATGGGCTGAGTTCAAAATGTCTGGAAAACAACAGGTTCAACAAAATTGCAGCAGACTTTTACAGAGAGAGAGTGTGAGTGGAGCTGGGACAGGCGAGGAGGGGCAGAGGCAGGAGGGTCGAGAATTTCAAGCACAGAGCCTGATGTGGGGCTGGATCTCACGACCCTGAGATCATGACCTCAGCCAAAATCAAGAGTCAGTTACCCAATCAACTGAGCCACGCAAGTACCCCTGTGGCAGACTCTTTTAGTTGCTTATCCAAACTCCATTCCTCACCTTTTCCCCAGGTTTAACATTACTTCAATGTGATTTGGGGACAGCAAATATGTCAAGGTCCCCAATGATGGGCTGTGACTAGCCCAAGCTAATCACAGCCTCCCTTGCAGCTGTGGGTGGCCAAATCATTGTGTACAGCCACGGAGCCCTGTTCTTTCCAGAAGCACCTCCAGGCATTACTTTTCAGGAGAGTATGATCTGAGATTATCGACCTGGGGTAACTTAATTACAAACATTTAGAGAGATGAGCGAACTCCTGACCAATCCCACCAGGATGTATTCATCTTTTAGGCCATGTCTCACATGAAACATTCACTCTGGTTTCTCTCAATAAACTGGGGCATCTGAGGGGCTCAGCCAGTTGGGCTTCTGTCTTTGGCTCGGGTCATGATCCCGGGGTCCTGGGATTAAGCCCCCTATCAGGCTCCTTGCTCAGCGGGGAGCCTGCTTCTCCCTCTCCCTCCGCCTGCCACTCCCCCTGCTTGTTCTCCCTCTTCAATAAATACGTAAAGTCTTTTTTGAAAAGATAAATAAATACTTGTACATTAATTTGTGTACTTGATCATACCTAACTCCCATTTTTGGGAAGGATTTACAATGAAGGAAAAATCTGTTAGCCAAAGAGGAACACGCCTATTCAACACCTTGTCAATCATAAACCAAAAACACTTGGGAATTCGTATTTTCTGAGTATATGAAATATGACATTCAGGTTAATCAACTTTCTAGACATAGCTGTGTTGTCAAGTTTAAAAAAAAAAAAAGCTGAAATCCAGTAATTCTCCATTCTGCGCACATAAAATCACCTGTGGTACTTTAAAAAGAAAATTACAAGTCTCTTCCCTCCATTCCACACCCCTTCTGATTTAATTGGTCTGTAGGTGGCTACGGCATCTGTAATTCTGGAAGCCCTCTAGGTGATTCTGAGAGCCAGCCAAGGTTGAAATACCGTGTTTTATGTATCACAGAGGTTGTGACGCTTCAGGGGGCTCAAGTGAATAAGGCTGTAGGGTATGGTGGAAAGAACAGGTACCCGGGGTTCTGGTCTTGGTTCTGGAACTCGGTAGCTAGGAGGCTGGGCAGATCACAGAAAACTCGGAGCTTCAACCTGTTAATGCATAAAGACTTGCCATGCATATGAACATCAAATGTTTATAAAGGCCCACAATAAAGTATCAGGAGTTTGAAAACGTTCAACACGGCATTTAATGCCATTTTTCTCTTCACGGAGTGCTCTTTTCCACCTCTGCAGGTAAAACCTACTGTCCTCCAACTGAGAAGAGTTCAGATCTCTGAGACCTTGCTTCCCTGACCCAATAAGAACTGTTATCTCATCTGTATCTCTGCAGTACCTTTTACATGACCCCATCATGCTGACTCTATTAACCGAACCTCTCCCAGCCCCCACTCCCCTACTGGGAGCTCCCACAGATCCCGGGCCTCTTACTATCCAGAGTCTAGCAATGTTAGCTAAGAAGAACCAAAACGGCTATCATCTTATCCATGAAGACAGAATCGCACATATAGAATGCAATTCCCTGGGGCGCCTGGGTGGCTCAGTGGGTTAAAGCCACTGCCTTAGGCTCAGGTCATGATCCCAGGGCCCTGGGATGGAGCCCCAAGTCCGGCTCTCTGCTCAGCAGGTAGCCTGCTTCCCTTCCTCTCGCTCTGCCTGCTTCTCTCTGCCTGCTTGTGATTACTGTCTGTCAAATAAATAAATAAAATCTTAAAAAAAAAAGAATGCAATTCCCTATTTCTCTCCTCTTTTCCAAAAGCTCAATCTTTTTTCTTCAGTGTCCTTTTACCTGTGAAACTCCTACCTTTAAAAAAAAAAAAAAGAGGAAAGAAAGGCTTCTGAGATCTGCTCTCGTGGTCACAACGCTAATGATCGTTTATTAGAGCCTATACATAGCAGTGCCTGGCTACCCATTAGAGAGACATTATTTAATTCTCCCCACCCATCTTCTAAAATAGATGTTATCACCCCCGTTGTACAGCTAGATAATGAAGTTCGGGGGGGCTTACGGAATTTGCTCAAACAGGTCCCAAGGCCAGAGGTGAAGGGAGGACTCGACTACGACCCTCTCACCAGACCCCGAAACAGACCACCACACGCACCTGCTACATCCTGAGATACTCTTGATGATTCCACACCCTGAGGAGGGGGCTCGGGGACAAGAAACCCCGAGTCTACCGGTCCTCCCACTTGACAGCCAACAGAGTAAAACTGCCACTGATCAGACTGGAGGGAGGAGGCAGAGTCCCAAGACCCGCTTTCTCTCGACGATCCCGTGTGCAAGAAGCATCCCAAACGTGACTTGAAATGGCAGCGCGCGGGGACCGCAGTCCAGCCCTGCCCCGGAAACCTCTGGGAACGGAGGCGCGGCCGACGTCCGAGCGCGCTGCCTCTTTTCCGGGAGGAAAAGCCACACCGTGCTCTTCGCGATTCTCGAGGGAACCTCAGGCCTCCGACCTCCAGCCCGGCACTCTCCCGCCCGCCCAGGGGCGAACACCGCCAGCCGCAGCCCTTTCCTTCCGCGTCTCGCCCGCCGGAAGTGACGCACAGGAAGCGGCCCCGTTCCCACGGGGGGCGGGGAAGGAAGATGGCGGCCCCCAGCAGCCGGTGAGGAGAGAGGAGGACACGGGGATCCTGGGGAGCGGCCGGACTGTTCCGTTATGGCCGCATCCCCGCACACTGTTTCCTCACGCCTCCTGACAGGTAGGGCACCCGTCCTTGGGCACGACTTTGGGAAAATTCTCATCCTGTGGCCACGTGCAACGCCGTGGTTCAGGCTGGCTGCAACCTTGGAAGCCCTTGGCGAGGTCGGCTGGGCACCGGTGGGGGGAAGTGACCTCTGGAGCAGCCTGAAGTGAAGACACTGTGGAGCTAGGGACTAGTCTTGCACTGTGGTCCCGGTGGTCCTCACAGCCTCCGTCCCCTTCCCCCGGAGGGGTGGTGTCCGGGGCTGCTTTCGGTTTTCCGAGTGGAGGCTGGTGGAGAGGATGGAATAGAACCTTGGGGCCCCACGAATCTCTTGGTTTGTCAGAGTCTCAGTTCCTCGTTACAGGTATAAGTTACTTGTAAGCTCCCTTCTAAGGACTGGCGAGCGCTTTGCCCTCACTCAGAAGCCTTGTTCCAGTACAGCGGGGTTGTGCTGACAAGGATGAAGTTGTCACGATAAAGATAAAATGATACAGAGGATGACAACTGTAGATAGTGGGCTACAGTCCCTCTCAGATTTTTGGGTTTCTACCATGAGCGTGGGCCCTGGTATCATCCTCCCACTTGAAGGACCTGTAACGACCACATGTTCAGTATGGTAGGTGCTTCCGTGACTTGGTCTCAGCTCAAGTGGCACCTTTTCAGAGATTCTTACCCTGACCAGCCTATTTAAGGTAGAGCCCCTCTTTTCTCACGTCACTCTTACTTCTTTCCCCATGGTTAGCATAGTCTGTAATTTTTTTTTTTAAGATTTTATTTCTTAGAGCATGGTGTTGGGGGGACAGAGGGAGAGGGAGAAGCAGGCTCCCCGCTGAGCAGGGATTTTTTTTCCCCAAGCGGGACTCCATCCCAGGACCCCAGAAATCATGACCCGAGCCACCTAGGTGCCATTGTAATTGTTTATTTATATATAGGTTTATTATGTGTTTCTCCCAACTAGAATGTAAAAACCCTGTGAAGGTTAGGGACAGTTCCTCTCGGGCTGGTCTCTGTGCCCCCACGGCCCAAAACAGTACCTGGTTTATACTGTTGACTCTCAGTAATTGTCCATTAATTGTATTTGTCCATTCATTAGAGAGATTAATTAAAGAAATGTTAAAGAGGAAGTTGGGAATTGTTTTGCCGCCAGTAGTTTTGATGATAACAAGTGGCTGTGAGAGGAATGTGTTGCTCCTGGTCTGTGTTGGAGATGGGTAGGAGAAGCCAGGGACTCCTCTTTGGTCAAATCCCGTTTTGTTTTGTTTTGTTTTTAAGATTTTATTTATTTATTTGACAGACAAAGATCACAAGTAGGCAGAGAGGCAGGCAGAGAGAGAGGAGGAAGCAGGCTCTCCACAGAGCAGAGAGCCCAATGCGGGGCTCGATCCCAGGACCCTGAGATCATGACCTAAGCCAAAAGCAGAGGCTTTAACCCACTGAGCCATGCAGGCGCCCCTCAAATCTGGTTTTTAGGCCTCACCTGTCACAGGCTGATTGCAGCACAGAGCAGTGCTGATCACAGTGACTCTGAAACTCCTTTCTTCCTTTTCTCTTATCACGTTTTTATTTTATGGGCCTGTTTTGGCTGTGTAATCTCAAGCCATATCATTTGTGTTTGCTGGAATTGAGTTTACTCATCTATAAAATGAGGCAGTGGAACGAGATGATCTCAAAGGTCCTTTCTGGTTCAAAAAGTGGGGAGGAGAGTGGGAAGCGGGAGGGAGTAGAGATGAAATAAGAGTGGCCATGGTTTTAATAATTGTTGAAGCTGGGTCTGTGACTGAAATTTTTCATAATGAAAAGTTTTTTTTAAAAAAAGGTCTGTGATTCCTTTTTCTGTCATCCCTGACTGTGAGTGTGCTTTGATCATGACCCTTGGCACTGATTCTCAGGGAGCTCATCCTTTCTTAGCACTTGAATTGTTACCTCTATTGGGAGGTTTTTCCAGTGTGCATTCCTTTGCCTTTCAGTCCTGTACTTGTAGCTTCCTAGAAGAACAGTCTCACTTCACTGCTCAGAGTCTAGTAAGTTGACTTTACATGGTTTGGTGCTGGATCAGTCTTTTTCAATGCTGGTACAAAGCTTCCTGAAACCATGAACACAGTTTCCCAAAAAATCTGCCAGTAAGTGGCCTGTACAAACTGCTAGGATCCACTTGAAAGATCATTACAGGAGTCTGATATGGAAGCACCATGGTGGGAAGGGGTGGCAGAAAGGCAACGTGTGACTGTATCAGGTATCTAGCGGTTGTGCTGCTTTTGCTTCTAAAAATTCAAAGTATTTTATCGCCATTAAGAGAAATTCAGGACCTACAGTTACACGTCTGTGCACCACATTTACAAAGCTCTACCATTGTGACTCAGTGTGGTGCTGAATGGTGGATATGGTCACGTTTCCAGGTTTTTAATGTTAACTCTTGTAAGCTCTGGGTATCTTCAAACCTACATTTGTTTACACAGGGCTGAAATGTCTTTCAGTTTCTAAGCACTGATTCATGGAAATGGAACATATTTTGACTGAATGAAGTATTTTCATCATTTAAAAGTGCAGTTTCCAGCTGTTTTTTTTTTTTTTTCCTTAACTACTATTCTGTAAAATCTCATTTTGACCCACTTAACCTTGAGAGATATTTTCCAACATGGTTCTGCCCTCCCAGCAACTTGTATTTCTTATTGGACTAAATGACCTCGGAACTGGTCTTGAAATTAAGGCCCAAATAATAAAACTTTGATGTTTTTTGATATAATCTCTTATCTATATATTTTTATTTTATTTATTTGAGAGAAAAAGAGAGTACACACATGCACATGAGCAGGGGAAGGGGCAGAAGGAGAGGGAGAGGGAGAAGCAGGCTCCCCACTGAGTAGGTAGCCTGAAGGGGTTGGGGGGGCTCCATCCCAGGACCCCGGGATCATGACCTGAGCCAAAGGTAGATCCTTAACCAACTGAGCCCCCCCCCCCCCCCCCCCCCCCGCCGCATGATCTTTTATTATTAAAATCCTGTCTTCCCAAAGAATAATGTCAAGACAAAAGAAGAAAATTGTACACTGTCAAACAAAACAAGCAAACCCTTGGATATCAGGATTCATTTGAAAGGAAATTTCAGAGGACTGATTTCAGAGCTGCTTTTCCTACCTGTACGCATATACAGGCAACGCATATTCATATATATGGAAAACAAGCATTTTGTAATTAACTGAGGTTGGAGAGTATGACTCCAGTGAGGAAGTGAGTTACCTCCAGTCTAAGATAATCGCCATGTATCCAGAGGGGCAGTGATCCTTCCAAGTAAATTATGTAGAAAATCCAGTCATCAAACACGATCTCACTGTTGTAGAGAAAGTGCTCTGCCAGCTGTTCTAGCAGAGGTGAGAAAAGGAGAATCCCTGCCATCAAGGTACCCAAAACTATGGTGATGGAAACAATTGACAAGAAGAAGTGCCATAAAAAAGAGTATAAAGTGGTAGAGTAGTTGAAAAGAGACTTTGAAAATTTGACAGGTAGAGAGTGGAGGCAAGACACGGCCAGCCAGAGAAGTATCAGCAAAGACGAACAAATTGTGAAATGTGTGGTGTGCTGAGTGGAGAGTGATGAGTTATAGGTACATGTGCGGGTGAGTAATGTCTATCCTGGGCTTCCCACAGAAGACCCACCGATCACAACCCGTCCTTGTGGAGGTACTGGGAGAGCAATCGGAAGCAGGCATGATGACCCTGGAAATGAGTCAAAGCTTAGAAATTACCCCCATAATTGCATTTTCTTGGGGACAGTATGCAGTGGGACGTGATTGTCTTAAAGTGGCTAGACACAGCAAGAGGAGAGGCATGAAGGTGGTGGAGAACGAGAAAGACTTTGGGTCATGGAAGCCATGGGACCATCACTTACATGGCCTGACACAGAAGCATTGGGTTGTTACATTTGAGAGGTTTGGTTTGATTAAAAGCCAGATTCAGCTCTATAGGCTTCTTCCTGCCTAGATTGATAGACCCAGACTTCACTGAGGACGCTCTCCCCTCCCTTTTGGTTAGTTGTCTTACCCAGCATGGCCCCAGCATTCATCTGAAATATATTTTCCAGTTTACTGTCACTTACTGAGAAAACCTGTGTTTCTCATTTTCCGCTATCTTTAAAAGTGATTGAACTGATTGTCTTATATTTTCCTCAAAAAGATCTACAGTGTGGTCATCTCAGCATTTCATATAATAAAAGCATAATGATCCCGAAATGAAAAATTGCCCCATCCCTGTGGAAGAATTCCACTTAGTGAATTGAGCTGATATGTGGTGGTGATTTCACGAATCCGATCAGAGGTCTGACCCATCGCACGTGCTTACAGTGGTGGCCGGCTTTGCTTCTGGTAGGCACAGTCAGCATTTGGTGAGAAGCACTAATCCTATGAACCTTGTCTTTCCCTTTTCTCTATTACAGGTCGGGTAGGAGGATGTGTCCGGTATCTAGAGAGAAGAGCGATGCAGGAATCCCCTCACACATTCGTGCATCTTTTCAGGAGCGTCCGTAAGCAGTGGATTACATTTCAGCACTTGACCTTCCTCAGGCGCATGGTATGTTCGGAAGACCATCCCCTCTCTGCCGCTGTCTGCCTTTCCTTTCTTTGTGTGAGGGAATTTGAGAAATTCCTGTGAAAAGAAGAGTTGTAAGAAGTACCGCTTGGAAAAGACTTTTATTTCATGTCCTCTTGAGTTTTTCCAAAACTTTAATTCCTTGTTTTGATTATCCTTAACTGAAACCAGAGTAGTCCTGGCATTTGAGGTTAAAAGTATGATCTTGAACTTACTGATTAAGTTTGGAGAAAGATTGAAAACTTCTGGCATATTTCACCTAGGAGAAAATTAGGAAAAGCTGAACCATTATCATACATCTCTTTAAATTCTTTAAAGTTCTGTGAATATATCAATGATACAGAAATAATTTAACAGGGTGACCTTCCTGTTTTCCTACATCAGCAGTGCATCTGAAAGTCTTTTAAATGCATGCACCTCTGAGTAGACTCAAGCAAATTGAGATTTTAGAATTTTCTAGGTATTTTATAGTGGGCATTACTCCTACGTCCTGGCCCTCTAAGTTGGCTTCATGATCCTGTGGGCGACGTGGTAGCTTATTCTTAATTACCAGTGAGGATATTTGCCATTAAATAGAAAAGTATAGAATGGAGAAATATTAACTAAAAACTCATAATTGATGCAAGCATGAACAGTTAGCAAGTTCACAATCTCAAATCTGATTTGATGCTTCTCTTTTTTAACTTAGAATGCCTACTCTAATGTAAAAAATATAAAATTAACTTAAAATCTTAATGAAGCTCATCATTATTTTTTTTTAAAGATTTTATTTATTTATTTGACAGACAGAAATCACAAGTAGGCAGAGAGGTAGGCAGAGAGAGAGGAGGAAGCAGGCTGCCCGCAGACCAGAGAGCCCAGTGCAGGGCTCCATCCCAGGACCCTGGGATCATGACTGGAGCCGAAGGTAGAGGCTCACCCACTGAGCCACCCAGGTGCCCCTGAAGCTCATTATTTTGATAAGGGATTTACATTTCCAGGAATGTTCAGATTTCTTAAGTTGGGGATCAAGGATAGTGAGTATTTAGAAGAGAAACTCAAGGATGTATAATGCCTTTCTTACGTACGCAGAATTCTGGGTTCCTTCATGAGTTCTTAATTCCTTTCTAGGACTAGTGTATATAATTTCAAGTATTTGTGATAAAACAGAAAAGTCTCTTAACTGGTTATCAGAGTAGGTGGTTCCAAGCACCAGGGCCACTTACAACTAACTGGTTATTGACTCTCTTTTTTTTTTTTTTTTTTTTAATTTGACAGAGATCACAAGTAGGCGGAGAAGCAGGCAGAGAGAGAGAGAGAGGAGGAGGAAGCAGGCTCCCCACTGAGCAGAGAGCCTGATGTGGGGCTCGATCCCAGGACCCTGGGATCATGACCTGAGCCAAAGGCAGAGGCTTTAACCCACTGAGCCACCCAGGCGCCCCTGGTTGTTGACTCTTGTCAGTTACAACTAACTGGTTGTTGACTCTGTCGCTTTATTTCTGAGCCTTGGTTTTCTCTTCTATAAGTTAAAGAAGGAGATACTGATAATGATCCGGCTTCCTAAACAGACTTTTTAAGAAGCACAGATAAGATATATACTTTATAGACTATGAAGACCTATATTATGTAAAACTACACATGTTCTCACTAGGTTAGTAATAGTTACTGCTTCTTGCTGGCAAACCGTAGAGGCTGTCAGACGGTAAAGCTCACGTTCTTCCCACAGACACAGTGCTTTCCTGTCACTGAGCCCTAAAGTGTTCCCTACCGCTGTGCCCTTCTCTGCACTATTTGCCTAGAAGCGTGGAAATTCACCAGGTTGACTTGGGAGAACTTCCTTTTTTTCCAGTGTATTTGGTACCTTTTGGGGGATCGTGTTGGAGGGAACACGAAATTTATTTTTCTTTCAAGGAACTTATATGTCCAGGATTTTCTAAACCATAGAATTAAGAACCATCACCGAGGTGTCAGTTAGGTTCACTGTACCTCTTAGTGTAGTTGTTTCCATGTAACAAACACTCAAATATTCGTTAATTCAGCATGTATTTACAAAGGTATAGGGGATCCACTATTGTAACAGACTGATGGGAGGCGTAGCTCAACAACGGTATAAGAGCATTTGGGGCCTTGGGTTTATAGTAACACGTACTTTCCTTATTTAGTATGTCACACAACTGAACAGAAGCCTCAACCAGCAAGTAAAACGGAAGCCAGAACCCGTGGCATCTCCTTTCCTTGAGAAAACACCTTTGGGTCAGGCCAAAGCAGAAATCTGTGAAATGAGACCTCTTCCGCCCCCCAGACTACCTTTATCCAGAAAATCAGGTGAAAAAGAATTGCTCGAACTGGAATCAGCCTCCATAGCTGAAGGCTCGCTAGATGCGGGGACAGAGACAAAGGATGAAAAGCACTGGAAAGAGATGAAGTTGCATCTGGACGATTTGCCAGGAATTTTGGCGCGGCTGTCCAAAATCAAACTCACAGGTACCTTGTTTTTCTGCTGCAGTCAGGTTCTTACTCGAAACTTTATTTTTAGTTAAACGAAATGCTGATTTTATTACTGCACCAAAAGGAGTATCTTGAGACTACCCGTCTTCTATTAGTATTTTTTTATTTCTCTTCGATTTACTTGGGATTCGAAATCAGCTTTTCCAAATTCTGTTTACACACAGCTGTAAATAGTTTTGAATAAATACATTGTACTAAAACTAGTCTTTTTTATCTGCAGTTAAAGTGGAGCGCCTATCCTGCTTATTTTCTTGTCTTTTGTGTTCTTATGCCTACTCTCCTTTAAAGATGGCAGTGCGGTAATGAGTTCTGTTTTGAGTTCTGAAAACAAAAAGGCCTGCACGCCTGTGGCCTCTGGGACTCCGAGCACTCCGCTGGGTTTTGCTTCTCGTAGGGCCTCTGGGATTGTCCCAGGCATGCCGAGACTAGAGTGTATCTCTGGAACCAGATTGTGTGGCCTCAGGCCAGCGAACTGAAACAAATTTTATTGTACGCATTAGGTATTAAGCCGTAACAATGTCATTCGGTTGTCATAGCATATGGTGAGTCAGGCAAAGCTTTATGGTCATCAGCCTGTCTCAGAGCTAAACTTAGAAGTAGCTTATTCTGGGCTAACTGTGTTCTGAAGGTACATCCTGGGACATTCTGCAGCTTGAGGACACCGCCTCTCCTTTTCTTGTTGGACGAGAGTAGAGAGAAAAAATACAGAGGGGGAATAAAAAGCTAAACCAGGTGCTCTTTGAGGAAAGAAGTGGAAAGCAGTGTCACTGAGTCAACATGGCAAAATGAACAGATAAGACGGAGAGACTTTGGAGAGTAGAGAAGACCAGGGAAAGAGTGGTGTGTGTGTGTTTTTCCAGACAGTTGAGCCTTGAGGTATATCAGGTAACTTCTTTCCTCAGGGACCAAAGCCACTTAAAATCTTTTTTTTTGTGGGAGTTGGGGATGGAAAACAGGCATAGAAAGTTTGCCAGATAGAAGAACATAGTAAGACCTACCTTGTGTAACTCCAGAACAGTAAGGCTAATTCCAGGTGCCATCCTTGAAAACAGGCCTCCGTGCTTTGTGGCAGCCGAGGAAGGAATCACCACCTTTCAATGAAAAGTTATCTTTTGTCATTTATACAAATGGCGTGTGATGTTGCTGCCATGGTAAGAATGACTGCAGATGTCATCGTAAGGATGTCACCCCAAAAATGAGTCCCCTCAGTCTGAAGGCAGCAGAAGTGGGCTCTGTCGACAGCAGGAGCTTCTTGCTTTGTGTGCACGTCATTGAAAGTGTGTTCAGGTCCGCATCCCGCTCTCGCTCTCCAGATGGCTTCTCCCTCACCGCCCCATTCCTGGCAGTAATACCAGCATTCTTTGCTTCCCCGAGATGGGAGACCTTAGCCTCATTCTTTATTCTTGGCTCTCCAGTCTCCCTTCATCTCTAGGCCAACGTCCCACTGTTAGCACTGGTGTCCCTTGTAACGCCCGTGAGATGACTCATCCCCGTTACTGAAGCTGCCGTCCTAGCTTAGGTCCAGTGGCCTCTGGTCACTGCAGCCGGTTGTCTCCGACTCTCTCCTGCTGGACCAACTTCCCTAAAACATTGCTTTTACGTATTCCTTACCTACTCAAGAGTCTGCAGTCCTTCTGTATTGCTTTCTGACACAACTCTGCCCGGCTTTAGAGAAAAGCTGTGATCTGGAATGATCAAACTCTTCCCCATAAACAGACTCCTCCTCCCACCCAACCTTGCCAGTTAGGCTAGGCCTTCCATCCATCATACCCATTCCTCCTACCTCCATGGAAGACTGGTCTGCCCTCTTATATCCATTTAGAGCCTTTCAAGACTTCTCCGTTAAGCCTTCTTTTGTCTGCTCTTGGCCCGACTGTTCCTTCTCAAAACTTGGAATCTGACTTTGAGGCCCAGCACACTTGAGTTCAGATCCTGGCTAGGACATTTACTAGTCAAGAGAGCCTTTGGGCAGCTTCTCAGCCTGATTGAGACAACTCTCTCACCTGTAGAGTACGAACAATAATAAATCCTCGAAGCGTTAAATCCCATAATGCATTCAAAGTACCCAACAGCAGGCTTGACACAAGGAGCACCTCGAATGTTAGTTTCCAAATAATTACGGGTAAACGTATGCTTGTCTATGTAATGTATATTCCCTAAGTTGTTCGAGGCCAAAAATCTTGCCATCTCCGTGTGGAGTACTTGTAGTCTCTGAGTCCAAGTGCTTCTCTCTTGGAAGGACTGGCCGTTAGAGGGAACATGAGAAATTGAAGTCGTCCAGAGTAGGACAGCTGCAAGGAAGAGGGGATATGGAAACCCTGTCCCTTGGGGAACGAGATTGTTTGGCTTGGGAGAGAGAAGGGAGGAGGGAGAAGGAAGACGAGAGAAGGGAGACTGGCCATGTTCGAGTAGCGACAGCTCCTGTGATTCAGAGGAACAGTGCTGCTGATGTCCCGTCGGGAGGGCAGAAGAAGGAGATTACATTTCAGCAGCACGAAGGAGAGCTCTCAGGAGAACGATCGGATGGGAGGGGAAATGGGCTGCCGCGTGAGGCCGTGGTCCTTGTCGGTTGGAACCATCCAGGTAGAAGCTGATTATCTTTGAGGGAAGGGATCCCTGTGTTGTGTAGTGGGCGGAACTCGATGATACTAGGAGTTGGTCTCCCTTCAGTATTTGTTGTGTGTCCGCCTTGTACGTTTGTGTGAGATGCTGGTGATACGGAGACAGCAGGATTTCCGTCCTCAAGAAGAAGCTGATCTGGGGCGCCTGGGTGGCTCAGTGGGTTAAGCTGCTGCCTTCGGCTCAGGTCATGATCCCAGGTCCTGGGTTCAAGCCCCACATCGGGCTTTCTGCTCAGCAGGGAGCCTGCTTCCTCCTCTCTCTCTGCCTGCCTCTCTGCCTACTTGTGATTTCTCTCTGTCAAATAAATAAATAAAATCTTTAAAAAAAAAAAAAAGCTGATCATGTGGTGGGGGGAGTTTTGTAGGCATACACGTATATACGGATAAAACAACTGCGGTCAGATGCCTCTGGGTTTCAAACCCAGAACTTCTAGTAACCTTCGTGACCTTGGGTCATTAACCTTGAGTGCAGTAGTTTATCCGTAAGGTAGGGTAGAGATAACGGTACTCCTGTAGCCTTATCTTAAGGATTAAACGAGATAATGCGTGTGAGACCTTCAAGTGCCCAGCACCTTGTAGATGCTAAATTAGCTATTATTAACACTGTTACTCTTACTCTGTCCTTGCTTAGGGCCGTGGGTGTTCTGAGTGTTGTAGCAGCTGCATCGTAGGGCGGAGTGGGGACCCAGAGAAGGGAGTGTTGTTTCTGCCTGTGAAGGAGGTTGAGGTGAATGAGTGCTTACTAGGTACAGAGGGCAAGGATTGTATGTAAGCAGAGGGAGGAGGCTTTGCAAAGGCAAAGAAGCTGAATGCATCCTGGCATATTCTGGAAACTGTGGATACCAAGAGGAATGCAGCAGTACCTGCGCGTGAGACAGAGGAGACGGTCACTGGGAGTCTGAAAGTTCGGCAGGGCCATAGTGCCACACTGGCATGCATTTCATGCTCAGAAGCTTGGCTCTTATGCCCAAGCAGCAGGAAGTTCTGGAAGGTTCTTTGGAGAAACACACAATCACTTTGTGTTCTGTCTCATTTATTTATTTTTTTTTAATTTTAATTAATTTTCATTTTAATTATTTAATTTATTTTAATTTATTTAAATTTAATTTTAATTACTACCCGAGTATTACGAACTTATGGCGATAAAAATTCAAATAATACAGAAGCATGTATCCAAAACTGAAAAAGTACCCTTTCCAGCCATTTTAGATAAAACCCCTGCTTGAAATGTAGCCTCTTCTACATGTATGTAAATAGATCAAGAGCCATGGGTATGGTTGTACATTTTAATGGAAATAGGATCATCACACACACACACACACAGTTCTGCAGTTCACTACTTTCTTAGCAGCGTAACTTCCAGTGAAAGTGTTTGCCACTGCGTACCCTTCCATTAAATAGAAATGCCTTTTTTTTGCCTACCTCACCCTCTACCACTAAACACGCAGGGTGTTTCCAGCACGTGGGAATCCGATTCCCTCTGTATCCGGTGCTTGTGCATAAGCAGTCTTTACCGGTTTTGCCTCTAGGGTAACAGAAAAAGATTTTTATGTCTCTTAGGTTTCATATTTTAAGTCATAATGGGATTTAGCATCTTTTTCTCTATCTTGATCATTTGTGTTTTCTCTTCTTTGTTTCTTATACTCTCAGTCATTTCTTACTTGTATTTTTTTGTCATGTTTTGTTGTTCCGTTTTATTTTGTCCCACTGAGATATTTAACTTTTATGTATTGGATAGATTTTTTTTTCTGCCCTGTGGTTATAAAAACATTCATTCATGTTTTTTCCTGGTACTTTTCTATTTTTTGTCGTATTCTCTAAGGTTTGGGGAGCATGTCGAATTCAGTTCCGTGGAAGGAGTAGGATTGATTAAGAGATCTGTGATACTGGCTAATTGAGCAAGGGGTGCCTGTTCTTGTAAATAAAGCTTTATTGGAACACAGCCATTTCCATTTGTTCTACACTGATGTCACACTGCGCTGACGTCACATTGCATCGGCGGAGCTGAGTGACTTATAGAAAACTTATGGCCTGGAAAACCTGAAACAGTTCCTACCTGGCCCTTTAGAAGGAGAGACCTGCTGAGCCCGGCTGTCGAGCACGGGCCAGTGAGAGGCAAGCATGACGACCAGCACACCAGTGGCAGTCGGCTGTGAACTGACTTGGCCTTCACTAAGGCTGTGGTGGGTCAGGAGGAGAAGGGAGAGAAGGGGATAGAGAGAGATTGAGGAAGCAGAATGAACAGGACCTTACGGAGAGTTTGGGGAGTGCTGGGGGAGTGCTGGGGAGGCCTGAAATAAAAGGTTAGGACACAGAGCAACAAAGGTTTTGGCTGCCACGAAGCAAGCACTCTCC